TCCAGTTCCAAGGGAATCCAAAGCCCTCTTCTGACCTCCACAGCATTGCACGACACAGGTGCACTCACATACATGCAGGCTGTACACTCAACTTAAACCACAGAGCAAATGAAAAATAAAATATATTAAAAAAAAAACAAATAAAGGGGGCTGGTGAGATGGTTCAGCACTCAAGAACACTTGCTGTTCTTCCAGAGGATCTAGACTCAGTTCCCAGCATCCACATGGCAGCTAACAACCATCTGAAACTCTAGTTCTAGGGAATCTGACACTGTTTTCTGGCTTCTGCAGGTACTGCATGACATGGGTACATTTACATACATGCAGACAAAACACCCACACACATTAAGTAAATAAATGAAAATTAAAAATTAAAAAAACACTGACATGTTATTAAGATAATCAAAGAAAACAGACATTATCTTTAGCTAAACTAATCAATACAAAAGAATAAAAGCACAAAATAAGAAATTACATGGGAGAAATTACCTTTGAAATGCAGTGATTAACAAATAAAATTCTTATTCGCACATTCTCTCTATAGAATTGAGAACGTAGGTGGAATAGTTTCCAAGGAAAACATAAACTAATCAAATTCTGTACACTATTATTTGTGAGTTCAAATTCCTGTCTATAGTCAGTTTCTTTTAGACTGAAAAACATCTTTTATTATTATATTTTTGGTAAGATAATTCCGATAGTTGCAAATTCCCAGTTTTCTGTGGAAATATATTTACTAGAATTTATATTTGAAATATTATTTTGCCCAATGTAATATTCTTAGGTGACAGGTTTTTTTCTTTCTTCTATTTTGAATTGTTATTCTCTGCTTGTTGGCCTCTGTTGTTTCTAAAAGTTAGCTTTTAATCTTATTTTGAGATTCTTTTTTAAGTAAGTCATTTTTTTCCTTGCTGCCTTTAAGATTTTCTTTTCGCTTTCAGTATTTTTGCTGGGATTGTCTATGTGTAGATTTTCCTTTGTCATCTTCTTAAATGTATGAATAATATTTTTCATTAATTTGGGGTTTTTTGAGCCCTCAATTATTTGAATTGTTTTCAACCCATTTCTTTCCTCACCTCTTGGTACTACCATTATGCACTGGTGGTATAATTAATGATATTCCACACTGTTGAGATTGTTCACTTTCCTTCTTCGTGTTTTGTCCGGGGTTTTGTTGTTGTTGTTGCAATACTCTCCTTATGTTTCCAGCATCAATCTCTTATAGTTTTCAAAATATTGTTATAAAATTAACCCATATTAATGTTTTTAAATGTTTCTTTATTCGTATTACTCCCCAATTCAAAAGCTGTCTGTTATCTGTATTAGAAATCAATAGTAAAGACTTGTTGATTGGCTGTTTTGTGCATGAAAATTATTTCTCCAATTTCTTACATATGTATTTTTATATAGTCAAATATAAATATTTTTATATAGTAAATTGACCTATCCATAAAAACTGTGTTTTAATTTCAGCTCCTATAAAACTTTATGGCTGTCACTGGTTTTCATCTGGTATATCATACTGTAATTTGTATGCTTCTATTATACAATCTACTGAATTCTAAATATTAGAATTTTTGGTTATTTATGCCATATCACTTGATGTATAGTACTCTAAACATAAGGAATAGCAACTAATGCAGTTGTTGGTACTGTTATTTTGCATGGTGTGGCATTTAAGCATGTTTTAAGCAGGCATTGGATATAATCAAAGCAAGAAACCCTTACCCCAAAGAAAATTGTTAGAGCCAAAGATTGAAATAAAAAATTAATTGGGCCTCATAACCTGAGTTCAATCCCTGAGACTACACTATGGAAAGAGAGAACCAACTCCCACAAATTTTCCTCTGAGCTGTATGTGTGCACCACAGCACAAATGTACATACACACACACACAGACACACACACACACACACACAGAGGCACACACACAGGCAGGCACATAGGCACACACCCACACATACATGCACCAAATAAATAAATAAATGTAATAAAATATTTTTAAAGAGTTGGAATGATCTTGTATTTTAAATTTACTGTATGCTTTACACCACAAATATTTCTGTAATATGAAAATTTGAATCTATTAGGGGGCTGTAGAGATGGCTCAGTGTCAAAGAGCACATGCTGCTCTTGAAGAGGATCTGAGTTCAGTTCCCACATCAAATGGCTCACAACTACCTGTAGCTCCATCTCCAGGCAATCTGATGCCCTCTTCTGGTCACTGAGATCCCCGCACTTATGTGCACATATACAGGAGCATACACATAAACATAGAATTTAAAAAATAAAAAATCAAATACAAAATAAAAATATTGAGCATGGTATGGATTTTATTTTTTCTCTTCCCTTTTTTCTTCTATTTGTGGAGGTAGGAGTTAAGATGGGGTACAGAATCTCATTATGTACCCTAGACTAGATTTAAAATCTGAACTCCCCTGTCTCAGCCTCCTGAGTGTTGGAATTGTAGGTCTGTACCACCATGAGCAGCAGATTTCTAAAATGACATATTTCGTTATGCATGTATATGTGTGTTCATTTCTACATTTACAAGTATAAGTAACTAAAATAACTTTATAAGACAATACATTCATATTTAGAGAATGTAAAGCAATCAACGTTGGATAATTTTATAAATAACTTCAAGAATTATATAGCAGCCAATTGTAACTATGCTGAAAGTCGATTATGAATTAAATAAAAATATTAGACTGTACAGACCTATTTTATTTTGTCAAATATAAATACTGACTTTATAAATTGATGTTATTGTGCATTAACTGGCACAAGTGACTAGTTTAATAATATAAGTAAAGTAATAAAGTTATTCAAATTTAGTCATTGTAGATGGAAATATAAAATATTGCATTATATTCTTCTTAAAACAGTACAAGTAAAACTTTGTTGGGTCTTCAGGCTCAGTAGTATTTGTATCACTTGTTATACAGTGTAAAAGCTTCAAGGATTGCCCAGGTGTAGTAATCTACATGTGAACACTTCATAGTAGCTTGTTGTTTTTGTTTTGTTATATTATTATTCCATTTTTATGATTCTTTATTGAAATTTAAAATTTTTTCATGGATGAGTATAATTTAAACCAAATTTAACAATTTTGTCTCTCATTAGGAAAAAGTCAAAGAGAAGGAAGAAAATCTGAGTCTTGTAAACCAATTCTTAAAGTAGAATACAAAACCTGCAGAAACAGGTATGCAGTTTTACTTTGCAGAATATGTGAATGTATGTAAGGAATGAAGAAAAGCAGATAATCTTTAATTAATATGTTATTTGAAGTTATATATATATAATTGAAGTTATATAATTCCAACTGAATTATCTACTCCAATAACTTTTCCGTTGATCATTATGAATATTGAAAAC